CTTAGGAAGAGGTTTCATTCATCTGCTTGGCGGGTCATTCCGATGCAAAAAAAAGTGCACAACATGCGAATGCCATAGATAATCAAGATTGTTGCTGGTGATCACCAACCATCATAATCATAGTACCTTAGGCAACCCTGACAAACCTCCATAATATAGCAGAACGTTCCGGATTAAGAGCTACAAACTCACACCCCCCCAGCATTTGATGGCTCGGCGGCAGAACGGTTGAGAACTTATTCACTTGATTAATTCTTTGGCTTCTGACATGAGCACTTCGCTCTCCTCGACGAGACCGTCCCCTCGTCTTCCTTTTCGGACATCCAACAGCGCGGAGTCGCCATCTCGACCCGGTGATTCTGCATCAGTATGACATCTCTAGCCGTTTCCTCTGCCTCTGAGGCTTCTCGGTCTCCTCAAAACAATCAAATGGCCATCAATCTGTGGGAGAAACGATTCGAGAAGAGACATTTTTCTTCGTAAGTTTCCTCACATCCTTCCTTTCACGTGTTTGACACCACGTCGGCTGGACGGTAGTCTCAACATCATATCACCTGGCAACATTCCAGACCCGAATTTCTAACCCACTGGCCCTTAGGAACCCCGTAATTGCAAAACTCGACGTTGAATGCAATGAATTGGCCCAGACTTGGAAAAAGTTTCACGAACATCTGCCGGAGCAAGATCAGGTCGACTTCGACGAACGCCTTCAAGAGTTCCGCGATGTCTCGGCCATGATAGGCAATCTGCAGACTGTCTGGATGTCTATTCCGCGCCAGCGCCTGTTTAGCCGTTCCATGGCACTCTGTGATCAATTCATCTCTTCTGTCCATCTGCATCTGGTGCTGCTGTCGGCCCTTCCTAGAAACGAAGCTTACATTGCTCTCTTCCACGGTGTGTTGCAGTCAGTCATCAAAGTAAGGCTTTCTGTACAAACTTGCTCGTTTTCTCCAGTCAGAGTGACTGATCAACTGGATGCAATAGGCTTCTGCCGGTTACCCCAGAGTCATTGAAGGTCTGTTGGCAATCCTGCTTCAGGTCAATGATTTCGTTCGCCTTCCGGCGGGAGGCCATGATCTTTCATCAAACAATGACCTGGTCCTGTCCATTGCAAAATTCTACGCTCTCATCTTCCTCTTACTAGGGGAGTTTATGGATTGGTATGTCAGAAAGGCCAAGTGTCGGTTGCTGAACAGTCCTAGTCTGGACCCTTATCTGGATTTCGAACATTTGCTTCGCAGTATTCGAGAGTGTGCCAGAGATATCAGCCGCGTGCTCGACGACGAGATGGATCTTGATATCGTGGGCTGCGTTGGGGAAAATAGCGTGTTTCAATACCCCGATTTTTTCCTGTGGGAACAGGCTCGACTGAAGCAGATCGGCTTGCAAAAATCGGATCGTCGGTTCGCCGCGCAGAATGCTCTCACTCGTCAGTTGATTTGGGAAATCCAGCATGATGCGTCCGCGCGTGCCCGAATGGCTACCAAGAGAGACGTCCTGCTCTCACAGTTGCTGGACTCTGCCAGTCAAAGTCTCCGCCCGGTCAGCCAACAAAACAGCGGTATTACATGCTGGACGACGGTTGCGCCGCGCGACTTGGGTATGCATTATTGCTGAAAAGGTATTCAGATAGAGCTAATATATTTCTTCTAAAGATGATTCACGATTTAATTGGTCTCGCGGCCCGAAACGCAAGTACACCCGAACCGATCTTCAGTTCACTTCCCGGCATCTCCAGGACTTCTTCAATGCTGGCGACCAAATGGCCGACTTCGAATCTGGTGTGGATGTTATCGCTGAAGACAGTGTGCTGCAGTCGTTACAACAGTGGGCGACGAACACTCATTCGCAGATGCTGGCTGTGGGCGGATCTCCGCCCACCACCTTTCCCAGCACTGTTGCCCTTTTCTCTGCTTGTTTTGCCACTTTTGCTCGACAGGGACGGCTTCCGGTCATTTCGCACTTTTGCTCCCTTCCGACTCAGTCTACAGATGGTTTGACATTGTTCCAATCGGGTCTTATTGCCCTCGCCTACAGTCTGATTCGGCAATTAATCGATTACCTCCCGCCGGTTGTGGAGAGCCACGAAGCCTGTGATTTGTGCGTGGAGCGTTTCACATCCTTGAATGGCACCCTTAGCTCGTGGAAAACGGCCCTCTCGCTCATCGATGCGCTTTTGCACTATGCACCACCACTGCTGGTCTGCGTGATTGATGGTCTCGATAAGCTCCAAGACGAATCCACCGACGCCTATATCCGGGATCTGGTTCGCACTTTGATGATCCATACCAGGCATCGGGTGGACGATACGGCAGACGGTTCATGGAACCAGAAAGTGCTCCTCAAGGTTCTCTTTACCGTGGGCGATCGGCCCAGTTCCCTAGTGGAAACCATGTCGGAGAATCAACTCATACTGAGCGAACCGAAGGGAGCAGACGAGCCGCTCCCGACAGATGCCACTCCAGCCTCGGGCATCGGAGTGGTCATGATGAATGCATGAACACGACGCATATTGATGAGATGACGTTTAATCTGATGGATAGCATTTTCTTCTTCTGGTTCTCCGTTCAGGTGCAAATTCGGGTCGTCAGCATAGACTTTTGCCCAGGCTGGGTTTGGTTGGGCCATGATATTAGCGACGCACATGCCGGTACGGCAGATTTCCTTTTCTCTTGTGTATTGATTCCTAGTGATGTCTTGGTGGCGCTTCTTTTCCTCTACTAACTCTCGGAGGGTAATGTCTCAATTTTCAGTTGCTGTCTCGAATCTTGGCGGCATGGGCAAGGTCGTGACTTGGAACGGTGGCGTTGTCAGTGTTGAACTCATACCCTGCTGTGAATCTGGCTCCTCGGTTTAGGTACCTGCAATTCCCTGTACATCTGTAATAACACCGTTCATGAAGAATTAGGAGCTCATGAGGAAGTACCTCCAATGGTGAATATCGGAAATTGGTTTCCATGTAGAACCATCCAGCGTGCATCGAATTGAGGCTAAACGGGTATATTTAAATGAAAATGACGAAGCGAATGAAGCGAACCTTACTCAGAGTATATGATCAACATGCGAGATAAGTTGCGGAGGTCAAATTCCGCCTGATTCAAGTTCATCCAGTATACGCACCAGAGCACATTGTAAGAGTTGTCATCTGTGGAGTCCAGCTCCATCTGTTCCCCGCAATGCTTCTGCATCACGATTCGATCCTCGGAATTCAGAACGGAGGCAGAGATTATTATTTAAGCAGTGTTCGACAACCATTGTGCAGTGTTGTGCACTCAGGCTACCTGGTCGGAAAATTGCTACGACACTTCCCATGATGAACCGAAATCAGTCAGTCACCCGTCGACTGTTCGAGACGCCTCCCCGAATTGAAGACTTCAAAGCGATATGCAGCCAGACCACCAACAAAGCCTCTTACCCATTATCCTCACGCATTGAGAAGAACATCCCCATCTACGATGTAACCACCCTTGATCACCTCAATTCGGAGCTCACCACCCATCTCCAAAATGAATGGCACCATGCCCTCAACACCGGCCCCGGAGTGGTCGTGTTAAAAGGCATGTATCACCCAGCCCGCCACGGCCCAGCCCTGACAGCCACCACCGAGGCCTTCGCCCGCATCATCGCCCAAGAGCGCCTCACCGCAACAAAGAAAGGCGACCACTTCGCCGCCAGCGGCAAAAACGACCGCATCTGGAACTCCTTCAGCAAGCACGCTCTCCTCGACCCTCGCTCGTTTATAGACTACTACTCCAACCCCTGGCTGCGCCTCATCGCCGAGTCCTGGCTCGGCCCAGCCTACCGCATCACAGCCCAAGTCAACATTGTCAAGCCCGGCGGCGCCGCCCAGGAATCCCACCGCGACTACCACTTGGGCTTCCAGGACGGCGCCGCCACCGCCCGCTTCCCGCGCACCCTGCAGCTCGCCTCGCAGTATCTCACGCTGCAGGGGGCCGTCGCGCACAGCGACATGCCGGTGCGCAGTGGGCCCACGCGCTTCCTCCCCTTCAGCCAGTGCTTTGAGCCGGGGTACCTCGCGTGGCGGGCGGAGGACTTCCGGGCGTATTTCCGCGAGAACTACGTCGCGCTGCCACTGGAGGTGGGGGACGGGGTGTTTTTCAATCCGGCGGTGTTTCATGCGGCGGGGGCGAACGAGATGGCTGCTCCTGAGGGGTCTGGGCCTGACGGGGGTTTCCAGCGCAAGGCGAACCTGTTGCAGATTAGTTGTGCGTTTGGGAAGACGATGGAGAGTATTGATACAGTGCCGATTGTGGAGAAGTGTTGGGGGGATATGGTGCGGCGATGGGAGGAGGCGGGGGCACGGCTGGATGCGGAGCTTGAGGCGCTGGTGATGGCTGTTGCGGATGGGTATCCGTTTCCGACGAATCTGGATAGGAGACCGCCGGCTCCGAGTGGGATGGCGCCGGAGAGTGAGCAGGAGATTGTCCTGAGAGGGCTGAGGGAGGGATGGGGGGTGGACAGGGTGGTGGAGGAGTTGAAACAGATGAAGAGGGATTCCTGTGCATGATCACTTCCGCTGGATAGATAGTCTTGGAGAACCAGTCAGTGAAACGACCTATGAAGCAATGGCAACTTGGAATAATTGTGGCCCGGCTGTGAGGTCGTCTTATACATCCAAGGGTAAGTTGGAAACCTGGTAGTAGCATAATCCTACGTCCATGATATCCGTCTTTTATTTCACGCGTTATGATAGACATTGATGATCTTGATTTCGGAAGAAATAAAGACGACAAAGTAGATTTGCTATTCCTGATGACGAAAGAAACCGGCGGTAATTACATTCTCTTCCAACTTGAAGCTGATTGATCCACCCATGCTTCCCAAAGCTACACCTTCATCAGGTCATGCATGTGTATCATCAGGAGCTTCCTCAATATGGACCAAACGAAGAACAACTATTTGTACACTGAAACGTCGGCTGAATGGTATCCCAATGTTCAAAGCATAAGCTCACCTTCCTGACAACACCCTTGAACTTCTCACACTTCATCAAGACCAGGAGGATGCTCAAAAACCACGCGAGGTCGACGACCGGTGTCTCCTTCAAAGAGCCTTTTGCCTCTCACCCCTTCGAGCAACGTCCTGTCATCTGGGTTTCGCAGCACTTTGTCTGGATCGCCGACGAAGCGCAAGGTACTGAGATTCCCAAGAGCCAACAGGTGATGGAATCCCCAAAGCACATCGAAAATAAGCTCATTCGAAAGAAGAGGACGAGCGAAACTGATGAACTTTTCCCCAAACTCAAGTCGTTCCTCGGTAATGAATAAAATGATCTCCAGAATATCGACGTGCTTCATGAACGACAGAAAAACCGCCACCCATTTCAGAGTAGGCCTGTCCTCAATGGTACAAGGGTAGTTAAGTGGTAGGAGCTCGAAGGACAACCGACGGACATACTGCTCTCGACGCGGGCCAATATTGCATAGAAAGCTCGTGGGCAAGCCCAAACGCCCATTCTTTGGGAAGCAGAAGAATGTCTCCGAGTAGAAGAGGGGCATCGCTTCTTTGTATACTGCTTTGCTGACACTGAGAATGGCCAGGAATTCTTGGGGTGTGTAGCGGTACTCGTGGAGACGATGCTGGTCTTCTTGGGAACGGTATTCGTTCGGAGCTGCTCTGTAGACCGAGGCATGGGCTTTGGTTGGATGGATGTACACCTCAAAGGCTTTGCAGGGAGGAGTTTCTGTGCGTTCACTGAGCCTGAATTCACTAACTCTGGTTCTCGCGTGGGGATAGATGAAGAACACACGCCGGTAGATCTCGAGGCGCAGTTCACAAGGGAGCCGCAAGAAGATAGACGAGCTTGAGTCTGTCATTTTGATGACTTTCACAACTCAATCTAACTGATATGTAGTCAATACAAGAAGAAGAGATGATGTCTTGAGAAGGGCAGTAAGTATTAGAAGTTATATAGCTAAAGATATAGTAAATGACGTTAATTCACTCGCGACTGTTTATCGCTGTTTTCCGTTAAACATAAGAGCATTCACTTTGCTCTTATGACGCGAGAAACGGAAACAAGGAAAAAGAGAAGAAATCTGCCTTCTCCTAGTTCTATCACAGATATTACCGATCCTGCCTCACCCCCTCTGTTGTTTTCCTACTTTGAAGAACGGCATGGCAATCACTACACTTATCCAGTGTTTTTAGTCAATACTGCTTCTGAGACCACTGGCAAGGCACTTACAAACTTCGTCTTTGGTCATTTCCGTCCGTTGTTCTTCGAGCTGGGTCTCTTTCAGGCTCGAGCCAGCCACATCTAGATTCAGTGGGTTCGGCCTCGTACTGTCTTTCGTAAGTCGTTTAAATGTGTCAGTGGAAGTCTTCAAGCGAAGTTGAGCTAACTGTCGATGGTATATATTGGCATTGAAGATCGAATCGAGTGATGACCAGTTCTTGCTCAGTCAACGCGAGCTATGCAGTTTAATAAACCCATCATTACTTCCAAGTGTACAACTCTACCAGGGTCTACATCGGCGCGGTCCAACCCAGCACCACATTGGACGGGCTCCCGCGCGCCTGGAATACCACAAAACCATGACTCTTCCACTTGGCAATAACCCTACTCATGCATGTTCACAACTTTGGATGAACGCGGGTTTGCGATATACAGAGTGTCCTTGGCCTAGACCGGAATGGGAATATGCTTAATTAAACAGGGTCTGACACCCAATCGGTTTCGTGAAATGTGGAAGTTAAGCGCTGTCAACCTGCAAAGGCAGGATCCAGGCAGGGTCTATTGTGCTAATGGAGTATTTATGGGATTTCCTGTCGCAGAGCGACATGCTCATCTAGAATAGGGTACGAGACCAATTCGGCTCAATTACATCCTGGGCTTAAGCGCTGCCGTGCCGCAGCGGGAACAAGGGACAGAAAGCAGGGCAGGCCTCGATAGACATTAGCATATCATGAACTTGAATGTCTAATTGAGATAGAGGACGCACTTGGACAGCATAAATAGTGCATCCATCGCCCCGAATTCATGTTGTCAAAGCTCAGAACTCCAAGCCATCAACATGCAAATCTCCAGTCTCGTCTCTCTTGCTCTCCTTTCTACCCTTGCCTCCAGCGCGGTCATTCATTCCGATTTCACGAAGCGCAAGTCTGTTGACTGCCAGAAGATCCAGGTTGCTCTCAGCGAGGCCGGTGCATACTATCGAGGTAGACTGAGCGGGTACTACGGGCAATCATATGTATGTCAAATTGAAAAAGACTCGAGAAAGCAGTTACTAACTTCGTTTCGAGATCACCTTTGCCAATAATCTTCAAGCCTTGGAGAATCTAGGCAGTCGCACAATGCGTCAATGTTATGATATGGCATCTCTCTAGGCCACTGACGTTTGAACATGAGTGTGCTTCTTATATTATATTTCTCTGTTGCTATTTGTCCATAGACTCTGCATGTACATATATAATAGCTGCTACTTGTTCGATACCGGGGCTGTTAGGATTCAGTCAGATTGGCAATTGATCCTGCGGTCTTATCGACGTTTCTGAAACTACTCCTATCCTACTCAACTTGTCCTGCAACCGGTCATACCCCCTATTTACATGCTCCAATCCTTGAATGATCGTGACACCCACCGCAGATATCGCAGCAATCACCAGGGAAGCTCCTGCCCGAAGATCTGTCGCTACCACGGTACTCGCAGCGAGTCTTTCAACGCCGTGAATTATGGCAATCTGTCCTACAAGCTGTATTTTCGCACCCATGGCCAGTAGACCAGCTACATGGTTGAATCGTTGCTCAAAGACCGTCTCGTGTATTCGGCTGACGCCCTGAGAGATGGACAGTAGTGCCATGAGCTGTGGTTGAAGATCAGTAGATAGAGCCGGGTACGGCCCCGTTGTGATATCTATGGCTTTGGGGCTGACCGCTTTGATTATCGTGATGACGGCTGGTGTCTCGATGGTGATATGAGCCCCCACTGTGCGGAGTGTCTCAATCAGTACGGTCTGGTGCTCTTCGCGGCACCCGTGGATCCGGAGTGGGTTGCCAGCCATGGCTCCAAGAATGAGAAATGTCCCGCCTTCGATACGGTCATCCATAACTCGGTAGTTGTACGGACGGAGTGGGATATCCCTTCCATGAATCTCTAGATGCTCTGTCCCCACGCCCTGGATGGCCATTCCCATGGTAATGAGACAGTGGCACAGATCCACCACCTCGGGTTCTCGCGCGGCGTTGCGGATGTGGGTGACGCCTCTGGCTCGACATGCTGCCAGCATCAGGTTCATGGTCCCAGTGACGGTGGGTGTACGTAGCTGAAGAATTGTGCCCTGCAGCCCGGTACGAGAAACTCGAGCTTCAATCGCCCGCTGCGTGAGTGTGATGCATGCTCCGAGTTTTTCAAGGCCGTTAATATGCTCGTCGATTGGACGTTTGCCGATCGTGCAACCGCCTGGGAGTGAGATCCTTGCATGCCCGAAACGGGCTAAAAGAGGCCCCAGAGCGAGGATTGAGGCCCGGAGTGTCCGTGTCAAACTGGCGGGTAGCTCCCGGTTTTCCATATGGGTCGTATCAATCCGCAGAGAGTTTGACCTCCAGATGACTATTCCGCCGAGATGCCGGAGGATGTTAGCAAAATTCTTGCTGTCGGTCAGGACGGGGGCTTTTTGCAGCGTGCTTTCCTCCAAGGCGAGGATTGACGCTGCCATGATTGGGAGTCCCGCATTCTTGGAACCAGAGATGTATACATCGCCGACAACGTCACGGCCGCCTTCAATGCTAAGAAGATTGTGCGCCATTTCTGAAATCTTGCAGAGAATATTTTGGTTTCGCTGAATCCTTCTTCTAAATCCAACCAGGCGGTGAGGTCGTGCAGATTGCAGTGCAGAGCCCTCACAGGCTGGTCCAATAGCAATGGGCTGCTGCCATCAATTTTCGGGCTGAAGGTGGTTCACTCCATTTGGAGGATCAACGTCGACTCTTCCCTTTTTATGACCCATTATTTTGACATGCTCGTGCCTACCGGAACGTCTCTCAGGCCAGTTTTGCACAGTGGTACACATGGAGGAATATGTTGACTTGCTCCCCTACAACACCTTTCGCGTTTCATCGACAACTCGATACTTTGTCCGTGTGCGGTGTCTGGATCAGCTAGAGGCATTGGTGCACTCGCCCATATTTCAGACTCAACCCCGTCTCGTCCTTGGTGGTGGTAGTAATATTCTCTTCGCCAATGATACGTACGAGGGCATCGTGCTGAAAAACGAAATCAGCGGGATTGAAATTGTCTTCCAGGACGAGAAGCACACAACACTTCGTGTTGGTGGCGGGGTCGCTTGGACAGCACTGGTCTCATACTGCCTTGACCATGGCCTCGGGGGACTTGAAAATCTGGCCCTCATCCCAGGCACCGTGGGCGCAGCACCGATACAGAATATCGGTGCGTACGGTGTGGAACTCAGCGATTTGCTGGAAAGTCTATGCGCGATCGATTTGACTACTGGAGCCAGACGACAAATGTCCAATGCCGAGTGTCAGTTCAGCTATCGGGACAGCGTGTTTAAACATACCGTACAGGATGTCTTCATTGTCAGCGTTACAGTCAGGCTTGACAATCCTGGCAACCATCGATTGAGGACGACGTACGGCTCAATTCGACGCGTTCTGGAAGATAGGGGAGTGCAAGTCCTCACGATCCAGTCGGTCGCAGAAACTGTGTGTCTGCTACGCAGGAGCAAGTTGCCTGATCCAGATTTACTCGGAAATGCGGGCAGTTTCTTCAAGAACGCAGTCATCGACCAGCTTGCGTACAACGCTCTGCAGGTTGTTCACCCCGCAATCCCTGTGTTCTCAAGGGCAGATGGCTTGAAAGTCATCCCAGCAGCTTGGCTAATTGAGAGATGCGGCTGGAAGGGCAGGAGGATCGGCCCTGTGGGAGTCTATGACCAGCATGCTCTCGTTGTAGCAAACTACGGCAGCGTGAATGGCTTGGATGTCCTGGAGTTCGCTGGTCGAGTCCGGGAGGATGTTATGGACCGCTTCGGCATATGGCTTGAATTCGAAGTAAGGATCGTCACGTAAGTCCCAATGAGCAAGAAAGTCAGTTGGCCCAGACTGAAGTACGAGACCCATCGAGTGAATGACAAGGGATCCGCGGTTGCGGGGAAAACGTGACGAAATCCAGATGATCTTGACAGATTACTTGGAATTGTGCAGGCAGAATACTGAGTAATACCTCTATGTGTCCACAGCAGGACAGTGGACGAGTAGATAATGATGCAATCTGTAACCGACGCTATTGATGATCTATATACGTGCATCAGGATATATGCGATCTTTCCATACGTATAAACTATAGCAGCGAGAAACTCAGAAGGCTTTGTACCAGGCTTGCCTGAATTCACTGACAGTTAGTCTAGACCGTTAGACTATCGAGTCTACCAGAGTCACGAATCGTCCATAGTCCATACCGAAGGATGTCAGAGTGTCCGTCTAGACTGAACAGACTTTGACCAAAAACCAGCTAAGACGATGATGAAACGGTGGCTTGTCGGTCTTGTCCGTTTGAGATTACTCCGGCACCTAGTGTAGCTACCGAGGAACCCCTCAATAAAAGTCGACATTGTGGGTGACACTAAGATTCTAGTGACCAATAGCCACTTGTTTCTGCTTGCCCTGCAAGTCTGATTGATTGATTATTTCTGCGGTTGGTTTGTTCTATTTGACCGGTAAGATAGGTAGGCTGCAACCTGGGATCTTTCTCTATCCTACGGATCTAGCTTCTACTTAAGTATGTACCTCTGCTATATCTTCTGTATTAGGATGTTCCTAAACATTGCGGAGAAACCACATTCATGCTGGTGGGAA